CTCATAATAAACAAACCAGAAAAAAAAAAAAAAAAAACAAGTTTCAAAATGTGACCGTCTTTGCTATAGGATGCATTCTGTAGAGGAAGATTGTGAGCACGGCCTCCTAGACTACCCTGCCTAACATCATTGCAGTACATAAGCTTTTTTTTTTTTTGCTTTTTCTTTCACGGGCAGGCAAAAGAAAACTAAGATTCATGGGACTCGCCGACCCTGGGTCCCACCACCGATTTCTTCGGGGACAGACCAGTACATTGTAATTTCCCAACACTGGCGGAGGTACTGGTGGTTTAAAAAGGGGAACATCCTTAGGAGGCAGCTTGTGAGTTGCGTGGAGTCTGTTGTGAAAACTCCCAGGCTTTCAGCCTGTGAGCTAAGCTCGATGATGCTTCCATTACTTTCTTGCCCGGGTGTAATGTGAAGGACCCCAGCCTCGGTTGATTGAGAAATTGATGGAATTTTTATTTGTTTATTTATTTATTTATTTTTAAGGAAAACCCAGGTTGAGGTGGGATACTAGACCAATGACAGTTATCCACAACACTGGGTCACTCGGTTGTCGAGCTGAATCCCTCTGAAGACCCCACCCACCCTTCCTCTTATCATTTTTGCCCTGGCGCACCCCCACCCCCCCTGTTCTACCCTATTGTTAACCACCCGGGACCATCACCCATTGCCATATTGGCAGGGTAACTTGACCAGACAACGGTTGCAGGCACCCAAGCTAGGCAGAGAGACCTACCCCCCTCCTCAGCCCTGGTTGAAGCGGACGCCGTGCAAGCCCGATTGCATGGGGACTTCGGGAGCTAGGTATGAACATACTACTACAGGTCTTTTGATGAGGGTGCACAGTGTTACGTTGTATTACTACAAGTGTGTTTTTAATGGCAGAGAGCTAGGGATCCACCGTTCCCTCGTATATTCCTGGAGCCCGTTCCGGCCCCACGGTAAGGTGCAGTATCTTCTGACACCTCCGACATCTCGTACTAAGGAACTGCTATGCCAGCCTCTAGGAGGATAGTCAACCCCGAGTCATGTGTGTATTGCAGTGTTCTATTGTATTGATGATGGTAGGAAGTTGGGAATCCTCTGTTCCATCGTAAATCCGTGGAGCCCGTTCCGGCCTTGCGGTAAGGTGCAGTATCTCCTGACACCCCCGACATCCCGTACTAAGGAACTGCTAGTATGTCAGCCTCAAGCCTAAGCTACGTACTAGGAGGATAGCCAACCCTAAGTCGTGAATCACGGACTGCATCATGGACTGTGTATTGACCCTGGAGCATCGTTGATAGTGACGGTAGAGAGTTGGGGATCCTCTGTGCCATCGTAAATCCCTGGAGCCCGTTTCGGCCCCGCAGTAAGGTGCAGTATCTCCTACACCCCCGACATCCCGTACTAAGGAACTTCTATGCCAGCCTCAAGCCCTAAGCTACGTACTGGGAGGATAGCCAACGCTAAGTCGTGAATCATGGACTGTATCATGGACTATGTGTATGGACCCTGGAGAATCGTTGATAGAGAGAGTTGGGGATCCTCTGTTCCCTCGTATATCCCTGGAGC